TATATATATATATATATATATATAAAGTATATATATATATTTCCCCAGTTTCACTTCTTTTCAGAGTGCTGCTAGTTTGTTCACCTGTTTAGTTCTGGATACAAATAATGATAAAAAACTACATGAAAAAAAAACAAAAAACAAAAGGGGACTATCTGGCAGTGTCCATGGACAAACTCATTGCCTTTGTCTGCCTTCCTCATGCATATGTATTATGATGTCATCAATATGTTGCTATTTCTGTGCTGAGGCCTTTTTTGCAACTTTTACACTGTGTCCCATCTAGGTTGTGTTTCTCTTTTCTTATCTAAATCAAAAGGGCAGCGCCTCCCACGAGGCCGCAGCCTCAGACACCTCCGTCTCCCCATGTCTGTTTGTTTTACTTGGACGGGCTGTACTGAAATGTAATTTCGTTGTGCTTCGGTGCAAAGACAATAAAGCTGACAGATTCCTTAAAGCAAACAAAACTATCCTTAATAAACTATCTGAAGATGAGCATCTATACTTAAAAAAGGGGAAAATTCAAGAGTAAACTCAACACATTAAAGTAAATGAATCAGTATTAAAGATTAAAAAATGAGTTTGTTTTAAACACAGTTAGGTTTAAGTGTTAAATGACAACTTTGTAGAGAAACTCTGACAGAGTGCCTCTCAGTTTTAGCCAGCTGAAGCGGGCCTTGTTGCATAATGTCACGATAAAGGACCGTCATGAAAAAGATGCTGTGTGTCGAGAGTAAACAAAGTCTTTAGTTATCTGCTCAGGACCTGAGAGGAAACGGAACGAGATGGACTGAACCTGGAAACACGAGCGGGAAAACCGAACTGCAAGAAAATGAAAACTAAAAATAATAATTAAAAGAAAGATGCAGAGAGGTCTGGGTCCAAATCCAACAAGTAAAGTTCTGGGAAACGAGTGCTTCCATCTCAACTTGCAGACACTTAACAGCTTAAATGGGACATGAAGGCAGGAGAAGAGAGGAGGGGGCGAGAAACAGAACAGTAGGAAGGTTGTTCAGCAGGAACTCGTCTCTGGGCCCTCACATGCAGCAGACTCCGTTAATCCTCGTTCTGATGAAAACTATTTGCACGGCAGCCTGTCTGTCTGGGTTCTCTTTTGTGATCTGTGCCTCACTGAAACCGCTGGCTTCAAACGCACACCGTAATCCGAGCCTTCCTGCATCCGAACACACAGGAAAAAACAAAAACACACACACGGACAAGTAACCTGAAGTGCACACTACCTCTACCCAGTGGCAGAAACCTGAAACTAAGCCCACACAGCCGAGTGCACCACAACGAGCACAAAGGATCTGTGTGTGAGGAGGATGCTTTTGTTGGACTTCAGGATGGCTCTAAATCATCTTTAATGGCTGACAGGTGAGTAAACAGGTAAAACGACAGAATCTCTCAGTGATCTGAATAAAAAAAGACGACATCCTCTCTATTTCTGATCTGAAGCATTAAATATGAGCTGAAAGACGTCCTGTGCCCTCAGGTGGAGCGCCTGCATGCCTGCAGAAGATTACACAAGCGTTTGCATCTGCTTTCATCAGCATCCTTTAAATTGTTTCGTTCTCACACTCTGTTCTCCCCATCCACGCTGTGCAGGTGGCACTTTTGTCCCTCGTCCAATGGCGGCGTAAACCTCAGCCTCTGAGACGCCAGGTGCGATCGACAGCCTCAGCAAATAACACAGATTCCCCTTCAACCAAAGTTTTGACCTACAGCAGCAGTACAAACCCCAGTGTTCTTTAACGTATCCTGACAAACTTCTACATGCACCTGTGTCGACCAAGCCAAGGGATCTTTGTATGAATAAAGTTTAATTCAAAAGTTAAGAAATATTTGATCAAAGAGGACGTCAACAAAACTTTCAGGACTGGACAGAAACTTATTTCTGAGGTTAAAAGAGCTCCATTTTTAAGTGGAGTTCTGTGGAAAGGTTGTGAACGATAAATATCTTACTTGTCGTAGATATCTCTTGGAACGTCCTCCGTTTGAAGAGACGGTTTAATTCTGAGCGAATCGAGCTAACGGCAGAGTCGAGACCAAAGTGGACTGCAGGAGTATTTAAACGGTTCCAATGTCAAATATTTTAATGAGGTTTATGCAAACACTGTTAATAAACCTTTATGCCACTGCGCTTTTGCATTACACAGTATTTGCATTTTATAGTTATCTGCAAACACAAATACTGGCAGCAGCAGTAGCACTTCCAGCGCAGCCTAAGGCCCTTTTATATAATATTTCTGTCAAAATAACCTTCAAATAAGAAACTGGAAGCAATGTAAGTGTTTATAAACTAGCATGATTGAGGTGCAATGAAATATTTGAGATTGGAGTGATATTAAGACTGCAGCTACTCACTTTGGTGTTGGCCTAGTTCAAAATAGTCATTAGCTCATCTGTCTGGTCAGAATTAAATTATTTCTCCAAACAGAGGTTGTTTAAAGCGCTATCTACAACAGGTAAGATACTGACTGTTCGCAACCTTTCCACAGAAGATCTGAACTATCGTTTAAGAAATTGAAAGCGCGCGTTCAAGCCGAAACGCGAGGACTTATGTTGGCAAATATGAAAAAATAAATCCATCTGTCTGGTTTTCTGTATTTTTTTATTTTTTTATTGTTTACTATAAAATTACTTCAAACTAAACAAAGACAAAACCAAATAAACACATTCAGCCTGTACGTTTGACGTCTTTTAGTTGAAAAAAAAAAAAAAAGTGCATTTCAAATAAAAGTGAGTGGCCATGACTCAGTTCTAACAACGCGCTGAGTGAAAGGTGAGGTATTTTTATTGGGACGAGGTGAGCTGAGCTGTGACGTAAACAGACGCGTTACCGACATGTAAAAACAGAACACACGACAATAAACATGAAAATATTCATATGAAACTGAGTCAGAGCTGCTGTGTGTTCTGACAGAACCAGATGTTCTGCAAAATATTACAGCCATTTCTCCACGTCTTTATGTCACGTCTGGCCCAGTTCCCAGCTGCTGATGTCAGCCCCCCCAGTGACAAATGATGAGGGAAGGTGTGAGGAATGTGTTCCACACACACACACACACACACACACACACACACACACACACACACACAACGCCTGGACAAATCATCATGCGATTTAAAAAGCGCCAGACTGAAACAAAAAGGGGAAAGAAAGAGCACCGAAAGCTCCGAACAGTTACCGGAAAACTCAATTATTGTCACAATAAAAGGACTTGTTGTTCCAGAGTCAGAGCTGGCTGTTCCCCGTGTTGCTTTTTAATCACATTCCCTCACTTCCTGGTCACAAAATAACACTCTGCTCCTGCTCACCAGGATCACTCAGCACCATTTAGGGAGCTGTTTCATGTCAGCTTCTTCCTTTTTGGCCTGACTGGAACAAGCAGCCATGTAAATACAGAAGGTGATTATTTGCCTGCTGAATTTGACTCTGATGAGGATAAAATGTGTGCTGTTGCAAAGTCGCGTCTTTAAAAGTAATAAGTGAGTAAACCTGAACAAACAAAGGAGTTTATTGCTGCACAGCACATTCCTCTGCTCTTTCAGGTGTTGGAGGTGCTGCCCTTTGCACACTGTGCCACTTTCAGCACATTTACACAAGAGGAAAGTGACAGTTAGTCATAAAGTCTTGACCAGGGCTACTCAACTGGTGGCCCGGGGGCCAAATCAGGCCCACGGGGGGAACTCATCGGCCCACCAATGGGTTCATTTTTAAATAAAACTAGATTTTAAACCATAAAACAAACTTATTTAATCACAGTAACTGCTTGATGTCCTGCCTCTGAGCTCTTGGCTTTCAGTAACGGTGACCCCGCTCCTGAGCAATTTAAGTTGAACAGCGCTGGAAGGAGCTGGCTCCTAAAACCTCTGATTTCTCCAGGTGGTGTCACCTGATGGAGCTCCACTCTGCTTATTCAGGTGATGACTGGAGCAATAACACCACCGTGGGATAAAACTCATCGTGTGACTTGTGCAGCATGCTCGTATGCTAAACCATTAAAACGTGCTCAGTGGATCCCAGTGAACAGATCTTCACCTGCACAGGGGGCAGCTTTTACAGATCCTGAGAGGCCTTCAGGGTCTGTCACTGCTCTGACTGTAAGCTCTTCAGAGATGTGGCCAGAAGGCACCTGTCAGCACGCACAGATGTTCTCTGGACTAACTCTGAGCTCCTCTTTTGTGTGGGGGGTATTTAGGAGCTAATACTTTAATGACTTTAGTGAAGCAGATGAAGCCACTTGAAGATTTGAGGATTCGGTGAAAACATAAAAGGACCAAGTGTTCAAAGTTACAGCTTTGTTAAGACATAAACATTAGAGGATTAAAAAGCTGATTAAATGAGTAACTTACAGCTCCATCTTGGTTTCTGATTTCCTCAATGGTGCACAGGCTCCTCGTCATTCCGTTCATGTTCACGGATGTAAATAAAAACGCCGCTGTAAACAATAAATAAATAAATAAAAGGAACGGAAGTCTGGATGATCTCCCCGTGGATTGTCCACAGTGGCTGCTGCTTCTGTCTGTGTCTGCCTCTCTCCAGCCTCTCGAGTCTAAGGGATAACTTTCGTGATGACGTCAGAGTGGGCGTGGACAGCACGACACGCCCACTGTAAATACCAGGTGACGGAGCGCAGGGAGGGTCAGCACCGGTGCAGCAGCTTCTCTTCAACAATGACCTGCAGAAACAGAAACCACTTCAGCTACTGGGTGGAAATAATTACAGGAGAGAGTTTATATATATATATTTTATTTATTTATTTATTTATTTATTTTTTTTAAGAACACAAACAGAACAATAAAACAAGATACTGATACAAACTCTCATGAAGGTTGTTATAACCACATTTTACAAAATAGGGGTTTTTATAATGAAAGAAACAATAAAACAGAAAGGAGCAAGACTATGAGAAACTTAGAACAATAAGTTTTTACATAGATGTTGTGAAATCAGTTTTCCAGTTTTTAATCTAGTTAATTAAGAATAGTATGACTTAAAATCCTTCATAAAACATGAGAAGGAGTCCCTCCACTCACAGTGAATGGTACTTTGCTATAAGTATGACTGTATGTATGGCATCAGAGAAAGCTGAGCTTAAGTTATCCACATAAAATAAAATGACATCAGCACCAAAAGAAGGAACAAGTTTGAGATGAATCCAGATTCTGATGTCTGTCCAAAAACTTTGTGTGTGCTGACATTAAAAAAAAAAAAAAAACATGCTTGAGGGATTTGTTCCCTGATTTACAAAAGACACACAAATCAACATCAAATTTCTCTTCTGACTGGTGAAGTGCAATGACTCAGAATTAATGGTCAACTGGTAGAATGCAGTTAATTAGGTTACAGTATACGTTTGATTCACATTTTAAAACCTCAGAAGATCTCACGGGGGGAAATTATACACACAGTTTTTTCATACATACATATATATATATATATATATATATATATATATATATATATATATATTGCAATGTCATACAAGTATAAGTAAAGTGCTAAGTGTTGTCATCATTGTTTGTTCCCATACAATGGCGAAATTTGTTCTCTGCATTTAACCCATCTCACCTGAGATACACCCAGGTGGAGCAGTGGGCAGCTATGTAAGTGCCCGGGGGGCAATTAGGGATGAGGTGTGCTGCTCAGAGACACCACGACATGTGGGAATGGCTGGGGATCGAACTTTGGACTTTTGGGTCCTGGGTCGGCTGCCCTTCCTCTACCCTATCTCGGGCCTTACATTTGGCCGTATTTACCTTGATGTTTACATTATCAGCGGGCGGTCTCCCGAAAACTTTCACTCTGTGAGGCAGGTTGAAAAACCTCTGGATTCAAAGAGGGGGGCTACTAGTGTTGTGTAAATGAACTGCAGAACTGCAGAGAGAAAGGTGCGGTTTCACTCAGAATATGCGCCGTGTAAACGGCCACAACATTCTTCATTGTACAATGTTCTTAAAAATGTTCTAAACTCTTAAACTTACGTAATTTTAACAACATACGTATATGTACTGTACAGTATTGAAAAATTGGGGCGGCTGTTGCTGAGTGGTTAGAGCAGTCATCCTCCAGCGCAAGAGTTGGGGTTTGAATCCACCAGCAGTCACATGCTGAAGTGTCCCTGGGCAAGACACTGAACCCCTCATTGCTTCCGATGTGTGTCCCATCAGTGTATGAATGTGATGAAACACTGATTATTCTCTGTACAGATCTAGTAGAGTGCTGCATGAATGGGTAAATGAGGACACAGATTGTGGTGTGAATCATTTTGAGTGTCTTGATAAGATTGAAAGACGCCATATAAGCACAGTCCAAATACAGTTCAAAATATTATATGGGTAGCCTACTCATAAGTGAAAATACTACGACTTGAAGGATGAGTTCAATTTCAGGATTATTTGTGACTTTCCTGCCAGTTCTATGAGCTTAACAGATACATTGTTACTTCTGACTTTGTGTTACAAAACTATTTTCACCACATCTAAAATCTAAAAAAGTTAAGTATGGTCCTCTGGACATTCAAAAAACAAAACAAACAAAAAGTAGAAGTAGTAATTTCACCATACCAGTTTCTCTGCTAGTGTTTGTTCCCTCCACTGCTGTTCTTTGAATTTTGGCAGAAAGCAGCGGCTGGAAACACTGTTGGCTCTGTGTCAGTTCTTTTGACTTACGTTCCATCCATCCATCCATCCATCCATCCATCCATCCATCCATCCAT